ATTAGTCTTCCTCATCGCATTCACTTTCTCCTACTCCTCCCCATAAATACAAATGCCCACCAAGGTTCTGTTATTGGTTCTACAGTTTTCTCACTCTGTATGCTATCCCTCGATTCAGGAACACAGTCTCTTACTTGAAGCTGTTGGGGCCAGATGTGATTCAGAATTTAGAATTTGGGGATTTTAGGAAAGTTATAGGGCATACCAAAAAAAACCCAAACCCATTGCCATTGAGTGGATTCCGACTCATAGTGACACTATAAGACAGAGTAGAACTGCCCCATAGAGTTTCCAAGAGGCGCCTGATGGATATGAACTGCTGACCCCTTTTGGTTAGCAGACATAGCTCTTAACCACTATGCCACTGAGGTTTCTGTTACAGGGCATATCTACCATATATTATGTAACAACTCCCACCCCGAGAGAGAGTGGCAGCACCTTGTAATAAAACATTTATACTTCTGCAGTGAAACATAAATATTTACACTAAGTGGAAAAATAAAGATTGTAAATAACCTCATACCAATTCATATTAGGTTTTTGCTGCTAAATGAGTTTTGCCACAAATTTAGGAAAAAGCTTTTGATTTTTAATTCATTTTAGATTTTAAAATTGCAGATAAATGATGGTAGGTTTATTAAACTCTCTCTACTTTAAACATTTCTTTTAGGTAGGTGGTCTCTCAAATCCGTCTCGTCCTACATTTCCAAAAGCATTCTGGACATCTTTACCAAAGAGTCTATCAACTTACTTAAATTTGCGTTGAAACAATTTATTGCCTCCTAACCATCAGCTGACCTACCCTTCATTCTTATTGTCTATCTCCTAGCATCATTACTTAGCCCTGTGAAATTCATTACAATATGTCCAGAGCTCCTTGCCTCCTATCCATTGCCATTGTATCCATTATGGTTCAGGTCTCCATTATCTCTCTCCTCCCAGCTTTGTGGCTTTTCAAAAAGGTTGGATGGACTAATTAATTCAGGTACTATTCTAAGCATTGGGAATACCAGTAAGATAGATTTCTACAGGTTGCTCATGTTTAAGGACCTCAGCTTAGTGGGGAAGACTAATTAGAGGACTGGTTAAATTAGGGAACATTTATACAATGGGTTATTTTGCAACCTTCAGAAAGAATGAGATAGCTCTATATGTCAATTGCCAAAACATACTAAATGACAATATATTAACAGTATGTTAGTGTCCTAGAGTTAAATATGTAGAGAAAGTTCTAGAAGGCTATATATCAAACCATAGCAGTGTCTCTGGGGAGACATTAGGACCTTTACTGTCTGATTTGTATAGTGTCTGAACTAAAAAAAAAAAAAAAGTATTTTAATCTGAAAGAAAAAGGTTACCAGTAAGTTAAGTGTGATGAGACGTATAAAGAAAGAAATGTGAGAGCATGAAGTGACTAACTTTGCCTGCCTACGTTAGGGAAAGCTTTCCTTTGGCAGAGGAAGACATTCCAATCAGAGTAAACAGCAAGTTCAATGACACCCAGTTCTTAAACGGTATAGTGTGTTCTGGGGATGACAGACCGGGTGGCTGGAGGGTAGCTTCAAGAGGAGGGCAAGATTTGAGATCAAGGTGAGATATGGTCAGATTGTGAAGGTCTTCAAATACTGGTTAGAAATATGGATCTGATCTAGTCAGTGGGGAGTCTCTGGAGGTTGCTGACTTTTTTATATATATATTTTTTTACTTTGGAATAATTTTAAATTTACAGAAAAGTTGCAAAGATAGTGCAAATTCTCTTATACTTTTCACCCAGTTTCAGTCTCCACTAATATTATAATTTTACATTACCATGGTACATTTTTCAGAACTAAAAAACCCACATTGGCACATTAGTCTTAACTCTAGACTTTGTTCAGATTTCACCAGTTTTTCCATCAATGTCCTTTTTGTTCGAGGAGCCAACCTAGGATCCCACCTCATATTAAGTTGTCACGTTCCTTAGTCTGCTCTACAAGTTTCTCTGCCTTTGTTTTTCACAACCTTAACAGTTTGATGGGTGTTGGTCAGGTAACTTGTAGTATGTCCCTCAATTTGGGTTTGTCCAATGTGTTCTCAAGATTAGACTGAAACTAGAGGTTTGGATAAAATACCAGAGGTGAAGTGTCCTTCTGTCATAGATTGAATTCTGTCCCCCAAAAATATGTGTCAACTTGGCTAGACCATGTTTCCCAGTATTGTGTGATGGTCCACCATTCTGTCATCTGATTATCCTAGGTGTTGTAAATCCTACCTCTATGACATTAACGAGGCAGGATTATACGCAGTTATCTTAATGAGGCAGGACTCAATCTACAAGATTAGGTTGTCTTAAGCCAACCTCTTTAGAGATATAACAGAGAGAAGTGAACAGAGAGACAGGGGGACCTCATACCACCAAGAAAGCAATGCTGGGAGCAGAGCTCGTCCTTCGGACCAGAGGTTCCTGCATTGGGAAGCTCCTAGACCAGGGGAAGATTGATGACAAGGAACTTCCTCCATAGCCAACAGAGAAAGCCTTCCCCTGGAGCTGGCACCCTGAATTCGGTCTTCTAGCCTGCTAAACTGTGAGAGAATAAATTTCTCTCTGTTAAAGTCATCGACTTGTGGTTATTTCTGTTATAGCAGCACTAGATCATTAAGATACCTTCCTATCATGATGTACATATGGCACTACTGGAGATATTAACCTTGATCATTTGGTTAAGGTGTTTGCCAGGTTTCTCCACTGTAAACTTCTCAGGAAGTTTTTAAACTTTATAGTATGATGATTACAATTGTTTAATGTGACTAGTGGCTGGGTGATAGGAAGAGGCTGGAAACAGGAAAGCTAGATAGCGAGAGCTATCTAGTTCTATAAATATAGCTAGAGCTGTTGCAATAGTTCCAGTGACAGATGGCAATGGCCTGAACTTAACAGTGGCAATGGCAGTGAAAAGGACTGGAGGAATTCAAGTGTTTCTAGGCAACTGGGTGGATTATGGTAGCTTTGAGAGAAATGGTGCAACTCAAAACTATAATGAGATATCTCTTCACACCCACTAAGATGGTTACAGTCAAAAACTCAGAAAATATGCATTGGCAAGAAGTGGAGAAATTCGAATCCTCTGCTGATAGGAATGTAAAATGGTACTGCCACTTTGAAAAATAGTCTGGCAATTCCTCAAAGTGTTAAACCTACAGCTACCAGTTGACCAAGCACATTTCTCCAAGAGAAATGAAAACATGTCCACACAAAAAATTGTATCTGAATGTTCATAGCAGTATTATTCACTAATAGCCAAAAGGTAGAAACAACCCAAATGTTCATCAACTCATGAGTGGGTAAACAAAATGTGGTATACCCATACAATGAAATATTATTCAGCCACAAAAAAGAATGAAGTATTGATCCAGGCTACAACACGGATGAACCTGGAAAACAAGCTAAGTGAAAGAAGCCAGTTACAGAAAACCATGTATTACATGACTCCATTTATATGTATTATTCAGAACAGGCAAATCTGTAAGTTCCTAGGTGGTGTAAATGGTTTGCACTTGACTGCCAACCAAAAGGTTGGCAGTTCGAACTCATCCAGCGGTATTGTGGAAGAAAAGGCCTGGCAATCTGCTTCCATTAAGATTACAGTCAAGAAAATCCTATGGAGCAGTTCTATAATATAGGGAGTCACCATGAATCAGAATTGACTGGGTGGCAAAAAAACAACAACAGGGCTAGGGGTATGGGGGCATTGAGGCAGTGATGGCTAAATGGTATGGGGCTTATCTTTGAGGTGGTGAAAATGTTCTAAAATCGTGGAAATGATTGTACAACTGTTAGAATATACTAAAATACATTGAACTGTACACTTTAAACAGGTGAATTGTATGGTATGTAAATTACCTCAATAAAGCTGTTACAGTAAAAAAAAAACCCAGGGAATATACGGCAGGTGAGCTAACTATACTCCAGCTGCAGATGTCGAGTAGCAGAGCAGTGAGGCTGGAGCTAGATACTGGCACTGTAAATCATCAGCATAAAAGATTCACTCAACAGAAAACAATATACCGTACGCATTTATTCCAACTTACTAAACGTGGGTAGCTCAAGGGAAGGTTTCAAGGATGGCACGTGCAACATTTAATGCACCTTCTACATTAACTCTATGTTAACACTGTGTTACTGAGACTGGCTGATATCCCTCCTACACTTACAACTATACTTATCTTCACTTCCTATAATAAAATGCTTTACCGTAAGTGGAGCCCTGGTGGTGTAGTGGTTAAGAGTTCAGCTGCTAACCAAAAAGGTCACCAGTTCGCATCCACCAGTTGCTCCTTGGAAACGCTACGGGACAGTTCTACTCTGTCCTATAAGATTGCTATCAGTTGGAATCGACTTGACGGCAACGAGTTTTAAGTGGCTACCGCATTGCTCCTTAAGTAAACTGCAGAGTATTTGGGGGTAAAGGTTGAAAATTAAGACTTTATCAATTTAAAGTAAATATTTTCAGTAATTTATAATCTAAATTAATTTGGAATTAGCTTATTTCCTAACTGAACAGAATGGGTCAAGCTATAAAACCTAATTGGCCATATGGTTATTCTGTATCACCCTCTACCCTACTTGTCACACGCCTCCCTGCACATCCCCAACATTACCGGTACTTGGTGGCGAATAACAATTCTGTAAGGATAATGACAGATGAAAGAAAAAAAAAATTCTATCAACTGTTTTAATGATCATGTATCCCTTATCTGGCATTAGTTAAAGCTCAATTTTAAAATCCTGAAAAAGAGGTACTTCACAAATTACAGAAGATGTCGGGTTCTGTTTGTTCTTTCTAATTGCCAAGAAGTAGTAAACAAGGTATAGTATGTGAAGTAGGAAGTAAATCCTTAAGAGTTGACACAGCATTTCACACTGGTAGGTCTAAGCCCTGACCTTCCTTCCAGTTATGAAATTCCAGGTTTGTGCTGGAATACATGAATAAAAGAAAAAAAATGAAATGACTAACAGCATGTCTCATTGTAATATTTATTAATAAAATAGAAAACTAAATTCAAGACAATAACTACTTTGCTTTTGTATCTAATCTGATCGTATACTGGAAAAGAGATCCTTTATACAAAGCCAATCCTCCTTAGGTAAGGAATGCCAGCATATCAGTTTTATTAAGAACTGCAGATTAACATATCTGAAGTTAGGTAAATGAAATAAAAAAAGAGCAAATTAAATATTAGCAATCACAGGAATCTCTCTCTCAAACATCCGAGTCCTCCTTTAATAGTCCTCAACCTCATATTCACCATCATAAAAAGTTCATCAAAGTCAATCATACTGCACAACCCCCAAAGGAAAAAACTGAGGAAACTCCTGGGTAATTTTTATAGCTTCATTGTAGAGTCCAAGATCTGAAAGAAACATTTTAGCAAACATTTACTCTACAGTGAAAAGTTGTAATATCAATTATCATCTAAAAGAGTTCTACCTATCTCTCTTTTCTCTCCCTTTTAGAGGTCAACTTATTTTCATGAACCAATTTCTAAAACTAAGATGCGGATAATCATATTTATTTAATTGTGGCTGCAAAAAGGAAAAGGCATGGGGACAGGAGACCACCCATTTTGACATCCATTATGCTGGCAGAGTTCCTGCCTGGTAATGTTTTATGTGTTGATGCATTGTTTGATGACTTCAATCCATACATTAAAAAAAAAAAAATTTGTTTGCCCTATTTCAAAAAATTCTCTTTCTAGTATGAATCTTCACTGAATTTTCTACATATACAAGCACAACGTAGATCAGAAAATTCTACAGAAATTAAAAATGTGGCAGGACTGAGACTCAATACCAACACATATCTACTTAAGAATAAAACTGTTTTCCTCCTATTATATAAAATCACTAAATATTGGAATGCTTTATTTACCAAAAGGACGGTTATCTTCTTTAAACTGGACATAAGATGAGCACATGATTGTTGCCTTGGTTGTTACTCTTCCAACTACTTCCACAATTCCAGAGATTTCTTCATCAAGCTAACATAGAGAACAAAATGTTTTATGACACTTTTCATTTGGTAATTAATTTGGAAAATTATTACACAGTTTATTAATCTTTCAGTTCACAAAACAAAAAAATTTAAAAATTTACCAATGCAAAAACTGAATTATAACTTACTAAAAAATGTTTATTGAGTACTTACTGTCAGCATGTTGCTAGCCTCATTACCTTTAGCAGTAGCTTCAAGTTCAAAGATAAGGTTAAACATTTTAATTTGAAAGCAAAATCACTCAGAGATAAAGATACTAAGAATTTACAACATTTCTACCAATAGTAATTTGTTTAAAAGGATCCACTGGGTGTAACCATTCTATTATCTATGATATTTAACACAGTATGTTCCGTATACACTAACCTAACAGTAGATGAATCTGTCTTTAGAAGAAAACCAAGACAAAGAAATGTTTTAAGCATATTAAAGATAAAATGTAACAATAAATAAATAACAACTGAATATAGCTGCAAACAAACATAGAAAATGGAACTAAAAAACTGAAAACTGAAGGAAAAAGTGAGTAAACATGGAAGATTTTTCTCAAGTGATTTTATGGTCTTTCATAAAGAGTGAGAATTGTTATTCAGCATTAAAGGGATATATTCAAGAATCAGGGAGACCAAAGAATCACTGGATGGAAACTTAAAAGGAAATAGAACGTGAAATAAACACGTAATATAAACTGAAAGGGGACAAGAACTTAATGTCAGAGCCAGGTTTTACAAACTTGTTCTTTATACATCTGCTCCAAGAATCAGCAACATCGGCAACAAACCAAACCAAGAAGAAGACTTAACTATAATATACATGGAATCAATACTTAACAGGCTCCATCAACTCAATGGTTCCATTTTTTCCTTCTCCATCTGAAAGAATAAACATTTTTCCAGTGGGATGAATCTAAAAAAGAAACACACAATTTTTAAAAAGTCCACAAAAACAAAATCATTAAAATAAAAAAATAAAAGTTTCACAAAAGATGAGCAGACTGACCCTAACTTAGTCAATCTGAATAAAACAATTGTTTTTTGATTAAGTTTATTTCATTCAAATTACACTCTTGTGTTACCAGATCTGGCCACAGGGCACCAAGTTAAATCTGACTTTCAGATAAACGATGAATACCCTGGTGGTGCAGTGGTTAAAGTGCTTGGCTGCTAACCAAAAGGTTGGAGGTTGGAATCCATCAGCTGCTCCTTGGGAGAAAGACGTGGCAGTCTGCTCCTGTAAAACACTATAGCTTTGGAAACCTTACGGGGTAGCACTACTCTGTCTATAGGGCCACTATAAGTCAGAATTGACTCAAAGACAATGGGTATGCCCTGCATTTTTGTTAAATCTGGTAACCCTACGCTAAGAACAAATTAAAAGGGGCCCTAGTGGTGCAGTGGTTAAGAGCTACGGCTGCTAACCAAAAGGTTGGCAGTTCAAATCCACCAGCTGCTCCTTGGAAACCCTATAGAGCAATTCTACTCTGTCCTATAGGGTCCTTATGAATCAAATCAACTCCACGGCAAAAGGTTTTTTACAGTATCAAAAAAGTGAGACCTACTTGCACCTATGAATTAGATACTATATATATTCCAAGTGGGTTATGTTTTAAAAATTAGGCAGGATGAAGTAAACAGACTGGCTGCCAGATCTGGGTTCTACTAGAGGCAGCTGGGAAGAGTGCAGACTAGTCTGAAGAGCAGCTTTCCACTTGGTGTGGCCCTGAGCAATTTGGTTAAACCACCACCACTCTACAGCTTCCCTATCTGTGAAGCCAGAATAACACCTATTTCACGAAGTTGATTAAATGAGCTACTAAATAAGCCTTTACATATCAGTTTTCTTTCCTGGGTCACTGATTCTGAGATTTTGGGCCTGTTTCTCACCTGCAGAAAAATGGAGCTGCACCCTCTGGGCTCTTTCCAGCCTTTAGGATTTTATAGATTACATGATAACATTGGGGTAAGATAACAAGGCTGCTATGGGATCTGAAAGGAACAATCAACAAATATTTTATGGAAAAGCGACTTCAATGAGAAAAAGAGGTTTGTGAAGAGAGAAAATCCCAGACGAGAAGGAAATAAGCAACTCAGCCAAGTTGGAGTCACAGTCAAGTTTGGCTAAAATAAAAATTCAGAAGGTAGACGTGGGAGTCATGTCTAGTTTCCTTTATGTAAATATACACAGAACGGGGTGCAAAGTGCTGGAATTTAGAACGCAGCGGATCCGAAAACACCGCGTTTCCGCGCCATGAAAAAGGTGCCAAAACACAGGCTTCAAAGGCTATAAACTTCCATTCTGCAAAATAAAGTCAGAGAGCGGGTGACGCTCTGAGTTTTCTGTCCTCCATCCTCTGTTACCCACCCTCACGGTCATGGGGCCTTTCCCTCTATCTGCGGACCGGGTATCCCGAAGCGGCGAGCCCGCGCACCTTTTCCAGCTTCCCCACGAAGCAGACAGGCTGGTTGATGAACTGAGCTAGCATGCTGGCGTTGACGCGCGACTTCGGCAACTCCATCACGTCCACCATGACTCCGACACAAGAGGAGCAACCGGCGGGAAAGTAGCTGCGAATAAAACTGTGAGCCCGTGGGCGTCTATGGGAAGATTTCCTCTGCACCAATCGGCGAAGACCAGCCCTCCGGATCCACCAATCAAACGCGCGAAAACTTCTATCGCACGCGTGCTGCTTCCTAAAGGGGTGGGTAAGGAGAGGGATGCGTCCGGAAGTGGAGCTGGGCTGCTTAGTGATGCGCGGCGTCCCGGAAGTTGCCTTGCTCTGGGGCGAAGTGGACAGTGGGGGCGGAGCTTAAGTAGGGGCGGGGTCTGAAGCTTCCCGGTCGCGACTCCCTGGCCTCCCGGTGAGACTTGACCCCGGAAGTGGGGGGTGTCGGGCACCGGTGCAAGTACGGCGGGGGACTGCGGCGAGAGCCACAGGTACCTCTTCTCGCGGGAGGCGCCACTGCCTTCCCGCATTTTCTTCTCCCCGCGGGCACTGAGGCGGAAGAGCGAGGCGGAGGTTCGGCGCCGGCTTCCGCCGCGGCGTTCTCAGTGCTATGCACCGGCAATTCCAGTTACCCCATCTCTCCTTTTCCCGGTTACGTGTGGGTGTGCCGGATTCTTACTGAATAAAATTTGTAGATCTCGGGGCTTTTTGACACCGTCCTCTTGGAGACAGGTACCGGGAGTCGCCAGCGACCGTCATTACCTTCTTTAGGCTTTTCCCGCGCAGAGACAGGATTAGTGATTTACCCCCTAAGCTGCGTCACTTCCGAGTCTCAGTTTCCCCATCTGTAAGGAGAGGGCTTGAGCCTGTTAACTCTGTGAGCCTTTTCAGCCCTGACGTTCACGCCACAGGTAACGGTTGTCTCACCCCATCCGTGTTAGCGGCGAGCGGAGCGTTTTTTGGGGAGACAAGCTTAAACAGCTATTTGACCCTAAGCAAGTGTTTTTCTCCCTGAGGCGTAATTTCTCATCCAAAAAATGAGGGGTTAGACCGAATGATTTGCAAGGTCCCATCTGACAGATTTTTGACCGTATGGTTAACGGATTCTTATCTCCCACCACCCTTTTCACCATTACCACACCCCTGGACTCTGGAGGAGATACCTGCAGGTCTAGAACATAATTTATTCCAACAAGATTTGGGTGGGATTCTCGAATCTGTCGCTGGCTTACCGTGTGGCGCAGGAAGCCATTGGCTGCTTATTTTATCTGCCAGGATTGGTACCTACACTGGCCAGAGATATTCCACAATGAGTGCCCTTAAAAATACCTGTAAACGGTGCTTCGGAAATTGGGAAAAATGTTTTTAATTGTGAATTATTATTTGTGATGGAGCATACTGAGTCTGTGAATTTGCCAGAGCCACAGGGGTGCCATCGTTCAAATTCGGGTTGCTAGCTGGAGCCTCACCGTTTTGTCCTGCAGTTTTTATCTTTAGCAAAAAAGTTTCTCTTTGAGGCCTAAACCGGCAGTTTAGTATTGAAATCTGATGTACCATAGTTAAATTGTGCTTAATCTCCTTCAGTGTTTACTTAGCACGTAATATGTTTGTCTTCTAATTTTACTGTCACTAAAACAAGTTTAAAAGATTTCATTAAACAGATACTGGGTGAATTTCAATTGGTGTATAAAAATTGGTAGTTGTGTTGGTGCAAGTCAATTTTATATTTCTACAGACAGCATTAACATCTTTGCACTTTTATCATTGCTTTTGCGAACAAGTTGTTGTCACTATGTAAGATATAAAGCCAAAACCAAACCGGTTTCTGTCGAGTTGGACTGCCCCATAGGGATTCCAAGGAGTGGCTGGTGGATTTGAACTGCTGACCTTTTTAGTTAGCAGCCGAGCTCTATCACCGCATCACCAGGGCCCAATGTAGGATTTGATGCACGTGAATGTCTTTAATGTAATACTAGCTTTTTTTAAGAGCAACTTTTAAAGAAGGAACCTTGGTGGTTCAGTGATTAAAGTGCTCGAATGCTAACTGACAGGTGGGTGGTTCAAAAAAGTATCAGATGTAAATATCATTGCTTTATTAAAGTTAAAAGACCCACTTTTAAGCAAAGGCTTTTTTTTTTTTTAAACAGCTGAGCAAGAAAATTTAAAACAGCTTTTTGGATGTTTTTTGAGTTTCTTAAAATGTAGTATTGTGAAATATAGCATACACAGAGAAGAGTCTGTAAGCTGATATGTACAGTTTTGAGAGAAATTAAATGAACCCATGTGGGCTTCTCATTCAGCTTAAGAAATGGAACTTTATCAATTAATTAGTAGTTTGCAGTTCCCAGATCAAGTCCTCCTTCCTACCAGCCAAAGCAGTCCTGGGTATACAAACTCGAGTGCTTGGGTGGTGCAGAGGGTTAAGATGCTCAGCTGCTAACTGAAAGATTGAAGGTTCTAGTCCACCCAGAGGCACCTAAGAAGCAAGGCCTGGAGGTCTCCTTTCAAAAAATTAGCCATTGAAAACCCTATAGAACACAATTCTACCCTGATGCACATGGGGTTGCCATGAGTTGGAATCTACTTCACTGCAAAGTAACCCTATCTTAACTGTTTCCTTAAGCTTCCTAAGCTTTTCTGTGTAGTTTTATTACACGTGTTGGCATTTCTAAATGATGTGTTGTTTAATTTTGCCAATTTCTGACCTTTATATAAATGGAACTACACCATATATATCTTGCTTCTTTTGCTTGTTTTTGAGATTAATTCATGTTGACACATGTAGGTGGAGTTCATTCTTTTCATTCTACTGTTTCACTCTTAGTATTGACTGACATTTTGATTGTTTGCATTTTTTTTTCTATTGCATACATGACTGCAACGCATATTCCTGTACTTATTTCCTGGTGCGAAGAGTTATCAGTAGAATTATGTATTTCCTGGAGCGTAGGGTATGCATCTTCCACTTTACTAGTAAAACCAAATATTTTCCCCAAAGGTGGTACCAGTTTACCCTCCTATCAGGAGTGTGAGGGGCCCTGACAGTGCAACGGTTAAGTGCTCATTGCTAACCAAAAGGTCAGTAGTTCAAACATACCCGAGGTTCATGGGAGAAAAGACCTGGCAATCTGCTCCCATAAAAATTACAGCCTAGGAAACCCTATGGGACAATTCTACTCTGTCCTATAGGGTCACTGTGAGTTAGAATCATCTCAGCAGCACACAGCGCACCCATCAGGAGGGTAGTAGAGTTTTAGTTGATATACGTTCTTGACAATACTTGGAAGTTTTTCTTCCCCTCAACCTGGTGGATATGAAATAATTTCTTGTGCGGTCTTAGTTTGCATTTCCCTAAATACTAATAATGTTGAAATTTTTTTCAAATATTTATTGGCCATTTGTGTTTACCATTTTTTGTTTCTGTTGATTTTTCTATGGAGTTGTCTTTTTCTTATTGATTTGTGAGAGTTTTTTATGTTAGAGTAGATAGTAATGTTACATACATGTTCTCAATTTTTGGCTTGGCTTTTCATTTTCTTTCTGTTTTGTTTTGCTTTATTAGAAAGAGCTTTCAACTCTAGTATAGTTAAAAAGCAGTTTTTTTAAATTTTGATGTACTTGAAAAAGTTAATTAAAATCATTTAGGAATACTTACATCAAACTCTTAAAGTTATTCTATATTTTTTCTAAAATTTTTGTAGTTTTGCTTTCATATTTAATGTTCCATCATCTATAATTGATTTTTTATGTATATTACCTGATAGGTATCCAATTTCTTTGTTTTATTTCAGTTGTCACAGCATCATTTATTGACTAGTCACTGATCTACAGTGTCACCTTATGTTTACATACATAGTCTGTTTTCTAGTGTCTTGATTCTCTTCTGTTCTATTTTTTTGTCCTTGCACCAATACCCTCTTCAATTCTATAGCTTTATAATAATGTTTGATGTCTGGGGGCAAGTCCTTCTACCTTGCTGTGTTTTTCAGTAATGTCTTGTTTATTCTTGGCTCTTTGCTGTTCTGGATAAAATTTAGCTTGTCAAGTTTCATGAAAAACTGTGTTGGGATTTTGATCACAATTGCATTGAATCCCTGGATCAATTTCTGCAGAAGTAACCACGGCTCTTAAACTATCCTTGAGATATTGTAGTTCTCTTTTCAAAAAGTTTCAGTATTTTCTAAATAAACATTTTGACTTTTAGGTTAGATTTATTCTTAGGTACCTGTTTTAGTTGCTACTATAAATGGTATCTTTTTTTTTTTTTTTAATTAAAAAATTTCACTGTTTGTTACTGGTCTGTAGAAATGCATATGACTTTTTTCCCCTTAGCAATCCTGCTAAACTCTTATTTCTAATAATTTTCTAATTTCAGTTTTCTATTTGTGAATATTTCTTGTGTGTTCTTTTCTTAACAATTCATATTTATTTATTTATTTATTTTTTGACTTTTGCCCATGTTAGGACCTCCAGTACCATTTTGAGTAGAAATGGTATTTTAGTTAAGATGGTGTTGGGCTGCATGTAACAGAATACCCAAAGTAAAAGTATCTTAAATACACACAGGCTTTTTCTCACATGTTAAAGAAGTCCAGAGGCATACAATTCAGGATTTGTGTGGTAGTGCCACTAAGACATCAGGGGTCCAGGCTCCTTCTGTCTTTCCGCTCTCTGTGCTTGTCTTAGTCAGCTAGTGCTTCTATAATAGAAATACCACAGATGGATGACTTTTAACAAAGAGAAATTTATTATCTCACAGTCTAGGAGGCTAGAAATCCGAATTCAGGGCACCAGTTCCAGGGGAAGGCTTTCTCTCTGTTGGGTCTGGGGGAAGGTCCTTGTCATCAGTCTTCCCCTGGTCAAGTAGCTTCTCAGCACAGGGACCCTGGGTCCAAAGGATGCGCTGTGCTCCCAATGCTTCTTTCTTGGTGGTATGAGATCCCCCAGTCTTTCTGCTCACTTCACTCTTTTATATCTCAAAAGAGATTGGTTTAAGACAAAATCTAATCTTATGGATTGAGTCCTGCCTCATTAATATAACTGCCTCTTTTCCTGCCTCATTAACATCACAGAGGTAGGATTTACAACACAGGAAAATCACGGCAGATAACAAAATGGTGGATAATCACATAATACTGGGAATCATAGCCTAGCCAAGTTGACACACATTTTTGGGGGACACAATTCAATCCGTGACAGTGCTCTACATGTTGTAGTTTCATTTTCAAGGTTACCTTATAATCCAGGGGAGTTGCTGGAGCTTCAATTATCAAGTCTCCATTTTGGGCAGCAGAAAAGAGGGTGGGCACAGAGTGTGCCTCCATGGGATTCAATCTCTTTAAGGAACTTTTGCGAAAGTCCTTCACAACTTGAAGTCCTGCTTCTTAGGTTAGGAATTTCCCTTGTGTTCCTAGTTTTATAAGGGTTTTAAATGAATGGTTATTGAATTTGACCAAATACACTTTATTGAGATGAGTGTCTTTTCTGATACTGAACCAAGCTTGCATTCCTAGAAAAAAACCAATTTGATTATGATATATAATAGTATGATATATACATTCCTGGATTTGACTTGCTGTTGATTTGGTCAGGATTTTTGCATCCATGTTCATGAGTGAGAGTTGCCTGTAATTTTCCATTCTTGTATAGCCCTTGTCAGAGTCTCTTATCAGGGTTATACTAGTCTCATGAAATGATTTGAGAAATGTTCTCACTTTTTGATTTTGTTGGACTCAGGGTAAAATTGGAATTATCTGGTCATTGACCATTTGATAGAAATCATCTGTAAAACCTGGGTTTGGTATACCTCAAAAACAAAACCCACTTCTGTCGAGTTGATTCCAACTTATAGCAACCCTATAAGGACAGAGTAGAACTGCCCTGTATGGTTTCCAAGGCTGAAAATCTTATG